TTATTATGTAATTTTGCATACTTTTTTTACAGTGTACATATCTTTACGCTGTCATCCCTCGGCACATAAAATATACGCTGAGTAAAAATTAATCGAGATGAATATTTATCCTTTGTTTCCCGAGCTTCGCGCAGAGAATTCAGGAAATGACGACATCGCCGAAATGTACGAGTGGAATTTATGGCAATTGCATAAGAGACGTTCGTATCTATGATAAGTCAAGGCAAGCCTGCGAGTGTGTGCACACGTCGTTACCGTCTTCCGTAAATAACGTCGGGTTTCGCTCACGCGAAAAGATGAGGATTCATCGCGATTGAAATGCATCGTATATCTTACATAAGGATTATAATAATCATACTACGTTTCATCTTTCTGGCGTCCCGTCAATGACCATCAAGTTCGATGTACTACAATTATCAATTCGGCCACGATTAACAACTGAGATAACACGCAGTGTTCATATAAAAACCATTGTAAGGAAAGTAAAAGGAGAATAAGTACCACGATTCTCTAATCGCGGATGAATAAACTTTACGTAGTTGAAATAACACGCAGAAAGTTTTCGAAATAAATTTTAGGAGGTCGCGATCTTTCGTGAATTGAATCGCGCTGTCGCAAATATTGAAGCACGATCAGTAATTATTTTAGAATTAATATTGCGTTGTTATTAGCGATCTCGATAAGCTAAAGATAGTAATTGTCACACATTCACGCATACGCAGGACTATTAGTAGCAACCGTTCTAATGTTTTCACATTTGTAAAATGGGCACTTAATTTACAAGCCTCCGCGTATCGATTTTACAATTTTAAACGTGACGTTAATTTACGGGGCATGGTGGACACCTATAATTTACAATCAGATGAGCGAGAATAACTGGCACTCGTTCTTGTTGCTTCAATTGTTACCCCCTACCTCCGTTGCTCTTCCCCCTCCGATCTCGGTGACCTGAAACATCCGCGTAAATGGGGCAGAGGGCGAGGCGACTCAAGATTCGCCCGGTCACGCGGGTTATCTCGCCGACATCTTCGGAATAAGGTCATGTTGATCGCTACATGTCCTCCGTGCCTCTAAAACCATTGTGGTGATCGTGTACGTGCGATGCGTGCAGGCGCGTCAAATCTTTATAAAAAATAGGTGAATTGAACGATCAGAGTGGGTATTTGCATTCGGACGACTCACGTGCGTGCCAAATTTTCTTAGCCTGAATACAATTAGGAATTATGACTGCCTAACAATTACGTGGCTAATATATCTACAAACAACGTGACTACGTAAATAGCACGTTTCCTATTGTCATTTTCAAACAATGACAAAGCATGAGTTTGGCAAACGAAATGTATGATGTCTTTTAAATTACTCGTAATAAGTATTAGAACTTGTGTTCAGACACTTATCGCTCAATTAGTGTCGAGTAAAACTTAATTTCTTGCTGAGATAATTTTTTCGCAAATTATTAAGAAAAAATTTGATAAATGTGAATACAATTTGTATAAAAATTATAATAGTCCTGTGGTAGAGAGTATGAGTCGTACACAATTTTGAATCTGAAAAGGTATTTTGAGGTTTTTATTCTTCAGCGATTATGCGACAAAATGAATATGTTATCCTGGCAATACATGTATTATTTGATCGGGGAAACCTCCCGTCGGACTGTCGGAAGATGAAACTTGAATTTTACATCGCACGGCGCGGCGCCGTGCATCTTCTCGCGTACTTCTCGTAAACTTTGATCGACCGAAGTAGGAGTGTTATCAGCATAAGTCGCGATGCTGCTCGGAAAGTGGATGCAATCGAAATGCAGCGAGCGAGACGCTATTGCTCTTCTGGAAAATTATTTTGTCAATAAGAACTTTGACGAGCACTTTTGATTTTACCTCGCATTACTTATTCTTCATGTACTGGAGTTTTTAAATTGTAATTTTACTTGATTCTCTATCAGACATTACGTACCACAAATAAAATCGACTCGCTGGAGCTTTTGCAATCGCGATAAATAACAGCGCACGAATAATTTGTATCGCGACGTTTTTTTTACGCTATTATTATTTTACGTTATTGCATGTTTGCAAATCTAGGAACGCAATATGCTGCGAGCAGTTGGTGTTTATCGTTTGATATACATATAATTTACGCTGTTTGCACATTCTCGTGCGAAATAAAAACGATAAATCTGCAATTTTATCAACTGTAATCGCGTCGGGGTTACTGGAAAAAAAAAATTCCGGCAAATCGCCGGACTGGCCGGTCATTTTCTAGCGGTCGAAGTGTACGTTGTGCGAACGATCCGATTTGTGTTTGGAGTTTCACAATTTATTTAGAATCGATGTCAATACGCAGAGATTATCGAGACTGTTTTGTCGCGCTGTTTTCGGCTGGTTTTTAGGAAAATTCAACTATGAGTGACTGACTGACTTCATTGTTCGATGGTTAATTTGCAGCAGAACAGCTGCATTCCTCTTGGTAGCCAGGCAATGAAATAATACAGATTAACTTACGTTAATTCGGGACTGATGGAATTAATCTATGAAGTCGTCGGGGACTATTTTTCGAAAACATGAAAATTTCAATCGAAAGAACCGACGAAGGAGAAATACCATTTCATGCTTGCTAATTGAACATGCGTTTTAAAAGGACACGCGTAAATAGAAAGTGCGCATGCGAAGAAATATATTTATATGAATGGAAAATTACATCACACGTCAAACGCATTGCATCACTGTCGTTCTCGTTTGTTGTCGCAGCAATTTAACATTAAAGTCTTACGTTATCCGTGCTGTTGAGTGCAAATGGGATCATTTCGGCGGGGGTGACGAGCTATCGCCGATGTACATTCCGCGTTTAATCGTTAAATGTTATTCGTCGAGAACACCGTTAGGATGCTACGCGTTTTCACGTATGTACGAACACACCCATTGCGTAATAAAGACAATGGCCGCGCCGCGGTCGGCTATGTAAATGCCACGTATATTGTCGCGATATTTGAAACTAATTCCCTTCGTCGTTGTTCATCCTACGTGCCTCTAATGAATCTCTCTGCAGGCTCGGTTGATTGCATTTTCGCTGCAATTTTTCTGGCATATTGAACCTAAATGAAGAACAAAATTGTTTCTCGTTTGCTGGGCATTGTTTTGCAGATTCCCTGTTAACTGATGACGCATTATGCATTGTGCGGAAAAGGCGGGTCAATAATTTAAGATTATTAATACCGCGGTCGTGGCGCGGTACGATCTAGCGGAATGGTCATCTCATCACTCGGGCGGAACCTGTGCTATTTGTCAGATCAGCGATCCGCAAAGGGTATTCGCGTTAATTACCTCGCCCCTATGGAGATACGTTATCGAGTCTCGGCTTCCGTGTCAAATTAGTAGCTGCACACGATCGTGGCTGATTGATTCAATTACTCCGTCCTGTAAACGGTACAGTTTGCCGGGAAGCTTCGTGCAATTTTACGCTCTAATCGTTTATCATAGTTGAACAGGTCGGACGTGTCTAT